GATATCAATATTTGTTGGCTATTTGGTTTTACTGTCCAACTACTCATCCCTTAGCTTTCTGTCCATCTTAAAAGTCTCAATATCAATCGATCAATTCAAGAACAAACCTTGAATGGTAACAGATGAATGTCTCTTGCTTGAAATCTTGACCTAAGAGGAGGATCCAGTGGATTGCCATGGTAACGAGGCACAGGCAACCCAAGAGCTATGACTCTAAAGTCTTCACTGACTCTCACAATCTTCCAGGCATCCAACTCTTGTTTACTATGCTCCTAATAAAGGTTAAAGGGGAATTTTTTCTGTCTTCTTCAAACCAGGCAAGTGAATAAAAAACATTGTTACCATTTTGACTTACTGATATATTGAGACAAGTTGAAAGAGCAAAATAAATAATTATAATCAAACAGTGAAAAAGATCAAAAACATACTTTTAAAAGAGAGTCATATCTCTCAGCAGCCATAAGAAATCTCCCATCTTCTAACTGCATCTCCCTTAAACGAAAATAACGACACAGTTGCTTGTAGAATTACAATGAAATAGGGCAGTGTTCACAGAATTCATTATTGCTATAATTACTTTTTTATTTATTGGTTATTTTACTATCAGATCATCAAGAATTTTAAAGGTTACATTCTGAGTTAACAGACTTTTCTGGGTCTTGTTATTTGGTATTATCTATATCTTTCCTAGTTCTCCTTCAAAGTGCCCAGTCCCTGTTTGCCCCTGTGAAAGACCCTCTTCCTACTCAAGAAACACCTACAACTCATCTTTATTCAGATTTATTAATCGAGAGAGAGAGAGAGAGAGAGAGAGAGAGAGAGAGAGAGAGAGAGAGAGAGAGAGAGAAAAGTACCGTCTTGTAATTCCACCCCTCAAACTATAATTACATTCAATAGATAACCACCTATTTTCCAAGAGGTTGTTTAACACTGGTAGTACATTACGCTCAGCTTTTTCAATCCCCTCCAACATCAGCACTCGTCCCTGGGTTGCAGCACGCACAGCACATTGGTCAACATAATAAGCTGATCCTGAGGTAATTTCTCTTCGCTGTTTTAGATCTGACTCAGTTGTGTCACGAGATAACGCAATGTATTCAACTTCCCGCTTGGTCAGCTCCTGTGAAAACAGAAAGAAGAGTTTTGACAAATGATTATAATAAAGAATCATTATTTTTCATTCTAGGATTTTAAAATTTTAAAATTTAGTTGCTTTGCAGCAAACAAGAATTAGAGTCTTATTTCAAAACTGAATTAATTCCTTAAATTTTTGCTAAGCGGAATACTTTTAAGGAAGAAAATGTTTTAAAAACACCTTATAATCCTTCTTCAATTTTGAAATTAAAAAAAAAAAAAACACTTGATAAAATTTTTTTATTGTTACTGTATGTGAGAACTATATGGAAATCAAAGTGATGTATGACAAACCAAGTATTGCATAGCCAGCAGTCTTCTAGAAGGTCCTGGAGGACCAATAAGAAACACATCCTGGCCCAGTTTGTCCTTTTAAGAAAGAACATATCCACTATCAATAATGATATTTCAATTAAAATTGAATTATGGAATTTACATTAAAGATTGATAAAGAGTGCTTCTATTTGGACTGAGTGAGTACATGGGTCCTACAGCCCTATGTTTACCTACTGGTAAATTATTTATCTCCAAAATAATTCCAATTTAGAAATAAGGGATACTANATCAACTTAACGGCCTGCTCCCAGTTGGCTTGTTAGCTCAATTGGTAGAGCGCTGCACTAGTATCGCAGAGGTCAGTGGTTCGAGTCCCATACAGGCCTGATTTTTTTCAGGTCTGATTTTCGCTATTGCATAAATAGCGCTATCTACTGCGAGGATCGTGCATCATACGTATCTAATACCGCAGTTCAAAATATATGAACTTCATATATTTATTCTATCTCATTTATCACTTTCACGGGTTTATTACGAATCAACTTAACGGCCTGCTCCCAGTTGGCTTGTTAGCTCAATTGGTAGAGCGCTGCACTAGTATCGCAGAGGTCAGTGGTTCGAGTCCCGTACAGGCCTGATTTTTTTCAGGTCTGATTTTCGCTATTGCATAAATAGCGCTATCTACTGCGAGGATCGTGCATCATACGTATCTAATACCGCAGTTCAAAATATATGAACTTCATATATTTATTCTATCTCATTTATCACTTTCACGGGTTTATTACGAATCAACTTAACGGCCTGCTCCCAGTTGGCTTGTTAGCTCAATTGGTAGAGCGCTGCACTAGTATCGCAGAGGTCAGTGGTTCGAGTCCCGTACAGGCCTGATTTTTTTCAGGTCTGATTTTCGCTATTGCATAAATAGCGCTATCTACTGCGAGGATCGTGCATCATACGTATCTAATACCGCAGTTCAAAATATATGAACTTCATATATTTATTCTATCTCATTTATCACTTTCACGGGTTTATTACGAATCAACTTAACGGCCTGCTCCCAGTTGGCTTGTTAGCTCAATTGGTAGAGCGCTGCACTAGTATCGCAGAGGTCAGTGGTTCGAGTCCCGGACAGGCCTGATTTTTTTCAGGTCTGATTTTCGCTATTGCATAAATAGCGCTATCTACTGCGAGGATCGTGCATCATATACGTATCTAATACCGCAGTTCAAAATATATGAACTTCATATATTTATTCTATCTCATTTATCACTTTCACGGGTTTATTACGAATCAACTTAACGGCCTGCTCCCAGTTGGCTTGTTAGCTCAATTGGTAGAGCGCTGCACTAGTATCGCAGAGGTCAGTGGTTCGAGTCCCGGACAGGCCTGATTTTTTTCAGGTCTGATTTTCGCTATTGCATAAATAGCGCTATCTACTGCGAGGATCGTGCATCATATACGTAAGGGATACTAAATTGTTTCTAAGAAATCATATCATAAAACAAACTTCTCCCAATCACCTTTTGCATGATCCATCGTAGGTTCTTTAGGACTGATTGGGGAAGTTCCCTACCAACTAAAGAAAAAAGATTAAAGAGAAAAACACTCAATCTGTGCTCAAAATAACATTTTATTAGATTAGAGAGTGTATTAAAATTGAGGCACTAGCTTTTTGTTTAATTTACAAACATTAGATTCTTTTTTTCAAGATTTAGTAGTGCAATTGCTCACCATACTTCACTGGGACTAACTCAGGTGAGGCTGGTTTCCTCACTTTTACACTCACATCTCCAATGCTTACAGCTCCATCTGTTTAAGTAAAAAGGTTATGCATTATTCTTGGAATATTTTTTTGACAAGGGTTAGGTCTGATAAGTTTTGTGTAATTACTCTACAACAAGTTGGCCAATGCAAAAATTGCCTCACATCCACAGAACGACCTCACAAACTGGTCAGTTATTAGCAAGCTGTATTATTTTACCAACATGCATTTTGGGTGCTTGAGATGTTTGGGCAAGCAAATCCTAATATTTGAACTTCTGCCTCCTCAATTATAGGGCCTTGATTTAGGATATTACATGCATAACCAGGTCAGTTAATTAGTGTACTAAGGTAACTCAGAGAATGGAAGGAAGGGGTCACACCATGTCCATATGGGATTTAAAACTACTTTAAAAACAATTCAACAAGTTAACATAGGAAAAAATTATTCACTGATCAGAGGATAAACACAAGAAACATGACTGTAAGGTCTAACTGCCTAACATGGTGGTTGTATTAAAGTTAAGACTAATAGACACGAATGCATGTAGTACAAGTAAGTCCCAATATAAAACACTATAATTTATGTTATGTAGCTGAGTCATACCTGTACACAACGGTCTGAGAGAAACTCTAAACGAATTTGCCAGGTCATTTAAACGCTTCGCAGCTTTACCATTCGACATCAAAAAAAATCTCACCATTTGTAGATAAAATATCTCTCCCTAAAGGGTACAAAGTTTGTAAAGACTCGAGAACAAAATTATGACGTAACACTTGTTCAACAACCTTTCAAACACCTTCACAAACCGCACGATGAGAGGAATTTCTTGGTAAATTAACACTTAACGCTGGCAATGTTTATATAAAGATCGGCATAATCCTTGATTTTCATATATTCACAGGAATGGGGCCCACAACATTTTTCGACCGCCATGATGGATCGCTTCTCGTCAGTGAAGGACTGGAGCCTACTATTTTTATCTGATTTCTTCTTTTCTCGTTATTTTACTTTCTAAATCCCGTTTCTCATCGTGTTGACGTACGATGGTGGTCGCGATCGGGATGTTGATATTGCTTTATGTTTATTTGTAAACAGAACTATTTTTGCTTTGTTGTGTTTTGTTTTTTGTTTTTTTCTTAATTACTTTGCTTGTCAGGAGCCTATGAGGGATTGTTCAATTAATATTTTGGCAAAGTGGCAGTGGTGATTTTTTTACTCCAATTGAAATATTGGCCTTTTCCTATATTGTTTACCTTACCCTTGAATACGTGATTATTTCCGCACAAACATAGGATCCATCGTAAGTGCAACAAGTTTGAGCTTTGTGGCCTTCTGTACAGTCTCAGATAACAATTAAAAAAGAACAGAGGTTCCATCGCTGACATTCTTACGGCTTGTCACGCATTCCTCTCCCTCCAGAACTAATGCGCATACTAAAAATAAAATAAAGCGTTGTCTGTAAGCATGATTTTGTAGTGGGACCTATAAAGATCTATTCTAGGCTTGTGAATTTTTATTCTGACGACTCTTTTATTATTTTTTTTTTTTCAAGTAAAATGAAGATATCAATTTGCGTGTGCCAACTAAACAAGTAACAAAGAGCCACCGTTTCCGCTTTTCATTTCGATTCAATATTGAACGAAATCATGGAAAATAACTGCTAGAAACAAACTGGAGGAACTGTCACGGGATCATGAAGCTAAATCAAAAGGAAGGGTTTTACTTGTTGCATTCTTTGTAGAGGAATGATGTTCACTTTACAGTGAAGTTCATACTCTATATTTGGATGTGATCTTTTAAAACCGGAAATGGAAATGTGATACTACTCAGACCATGGAAACCGCGCCTCGCTGGTAAAACTTCAATATGGCGTGAGGGCGCAGATTTGCGAAAAAAGCAGCATATCAGTCAAAAAACAATAACTTCCCATGAGAGGTTTTCGAGACTTAATTGCTGTTTTAGATTTTGGAGCGGTAAAGTACACGGACACCTTATTGAGGTGACCTGGCGGGATTCGCTATGCGCAAAACTCACTCAGCGTCAAGTTTCCTTCTTTTGGTACTCATCGTGGGTTCGATGGGCCCCTCCTGGCAAGAAAAGGTTCTAAAGAAAGGAAGTTATAGTGTTCCATTGAGGCGAACGAAAAGAGATCTACGCGATAGCCGAGGGAATCCAACTGAAAATTTGAAAGGTCGGCCTGGGCAAGGATATTACATATCGACAGATCTTGGGAGCCCTCCTCAAAGAGTGAGTAACAGAGATTTATGATGTTATCGTGTGTTTAAAAAGTCGGGAACAAGGGCCTCTTTCTTGAGGAGTATGAAATTCATCTTTTTACTCTATTTTTAACGAAAAACCTGCTTCTCTTTGTTTTGCACGCCTTTCGCGCTCGTAATATTTGAAATCTTGGCTTTACCTCCGAACGAGCTTCGGGTTCTTATTATCAAATTTGGATGTGAAAGTCATAAATTCTAATTATTGGTAACGAAGCTTAATCGAAAGCCCTTTCGATTTCAGGTGTTGTATTTTTAGTTTTATCACAAACTAACTAGATAATTTCTATGGATAGCAGAGATTGATGAAGCAGCTAGCGTTGTTATCATTTCGAAGAACGTGCTCGTTCAGCATGTAATTGGAGTGAGTTCGGCACTTAGCAACACTATGACTGAGAGCTTTTAGATCTTGAAATATTCTTCTATCGCGATCGAATTTGAAGACAGATTAATTACTGAGAAGGTAACCTTTGTGAAATTTTCGAAATTGTTTGGGATCAAGGTTACCTTTGTGTCGCAGTTGTAAAGGCGAATTTGCTACGAAGGTTACTTGAAACATTTCGTTCGATTGCAGACGGGAATAAGTTCCCCCGTGTTTACATAAATACGTGTAAAGGCCAGTTAAAGAATATTACTCTTTCTCTTCTCGTGCGAAACGAGTTGGAATATTGTTTCATTAGCATGAGGATTTAAAAAGTCTCAATAAAATGCATGGGTGACATTCGCGTTTAGTATTGCGCTTTCAATTTCGGAATGATAATGAGTTTACTCGTTTCGTATATATAAGCGGGTTTCGTATACATAAACTGAGGGGTATTTTATAACGACATAAAAGAAGGAGATCTCACGCGAAAATTTAAACAAACGTAGCTTTAGAATTTTAAATTCAAAGCATGAAATATTTTCCATCAGGGAAAAATGTTAGGTTTGCATAATAATTTAGTTTTACTTCTTCGTGCAAATACTTGGGGATCAGAGTTCAGATGAAGTAAAACAAAAGAACAAAAGACTAAACAGGATAGAATGCATTAAAAAATTAAAACAATGGTTTTAAATAAATCACACTGCAGGATACTGCTATTGATTTTGCAGTGTTACCTCTAGCCAAACCAAGAAGTCATTCTGTATATTCTTTTAATTAATACAGTTATACATTTATATTCCAACACGGAAACATAATATTACAACATTTAGAGCTGTTTGGGCATACAGAGGTCATTATTGTTTTTATGTGACTTTGGCAAATCATAGCTTCCCCCATATCTTGATTGTGAGATTTCATAGAGTGTTGTCATGTTCTAAAGTGAACTTGATAGCAAACTTGCTGATGAAGTAGCCCTGAGGAAGGATGGGGGGGTGTGTGCTGGCATGAAGTGATCCTGGTGTGTTTAAAAAGTTCATGTCCCATCTTTGTAAGAATCTTATAGAATTTTGTGCGGGTAATCACAGAGAAAATCTCAACAACCCTAATGCGCAAACCAATGTGGGTAAACAATCAATCTCTTTCATGGCAATCAGTATTTGGAATGATCATCTACCCTCTGTAAAGGACTCAGGTGTAACTGAAGCAAGTCAAAGGTTGTCTACTGTTAGAAGAAGAATAAAAATTAAGCAACCTTCATCTACAGTTATTACAGTTTAACCAACTTTTCCTTTATTATTTTGTTATTTTATTGTTTTTTGTTGTTTACTTACCTGCTGCCGCCTACTCAGATGGGCTTCAATTTCACCCAATTTCTATGGACATCCAAATGTTAACCAACACTGTCTCAAAATCTTTTCAGATAAATGTCCTTGTTGATACTGGAAGTAGTAATTTTGCTGTTGCAGCATCTCCACATCCATATCTCCCCTTCTACTTTCATACGGACAGGTAAGTAATGCTCATGTCATCTTTGTGTTATGTGGGTAGATGTAGAATGTGCTGAACACCAACAATATACATTGATTCAACTTTTATCAATGCAACTTATGACTTCCTAGTGTCTAAGTTCTAGACTGAAGTTCAATATCTTGAGTTGCAATTGGCTACAGTGAGGTGAGAATAATATCTCAAGGCAAAGTTATTGTGGGGGAGGAGAGGGTGGAGGAGTGGTTTATGGAAGACAAATACAACATCTTGGCACAAAGTAAGAAGTGGACCAAAGACTATTTGTGAAAGATTATCTTGGTAATGTTAGATAGTGTTGTATGATATTATGAATTGGACCTAAAGCAAATGTTGTTATATTGTGATGAGTACCGAGCAATTCTTGTGATAAAACTTAATATATATAGAAGGAAGATGTAAGGTAAGTGAAAGTGAGAAAGTCAAATGAAACAAATATGTCATGTTGGAAATATTTTAACAGGTCAAGTTCGTATCAAGATCAAAACAGACCTGTAGCAGTTCCGTATACACAGGGAAACTGGGAAGGAAGACTAGCATCTGATTTGCTACATTTTGTTGAGGGACCAAATGCTACTGTGCGTGTCAATGTTGCAGCCATTCAGTCTTCAGAGAATTTTTACATCAATGGTTCTATGTGGGAAGGAATCTTAGGACTTGGCTATGCAAGATTATCAAAGGTTGGGGATTTGATTCATAGTTGTTGTTACAGACTCCTCTGTTAGTTTATGGAGCATCAAGGGGAAACTTTCAACATGGCTAATACACACATTGTAAGTGGTATCTTTTTTGTGGGGGGGGGGGAGAGGGGGATTAGGTTGGCTCATATCTTCCCCTTTACACTCCTATGTTACAGTTAATGAAATATGAATTACAGCTGGGTAGACTTAAAGTATTTTTTGTCTGTACCAGTGTATATGCAGAATATTCTGATAAATTAGCAATCTCTGTGTTCTTCCTAGCCTGATTCAAGTGTACTGCCAGTGTTTGACCAATTTGTTAATGCTGGAGTTGTTAAGGATTCTTTCTCCATGCAATTATGTGGTAGTAGTGAAATTGACTTTTCTTCTGAGCCTACTGTTGCTGGCACAATGGTAAGTTTTAAAAGAAATTTTTTAAACAATTTTTGCTCTAACTCTAACTTTTTTTCACTGAGGATTTATCAGTGATCAATAATGCTGTTTAAATTTGAATCTTGTGTAACAGGTTTTTGGTGAAATTGATAATGAGTTGTATGAAGGTGATCTTCTCTTCACTCCAGTGGTAAAGAAATGGTACTATGAAGTTGTCATAACTGACATTGCAGTTGGCGGAGAGAGTTTGGCCTTAGACTGTAAAAAGGTGTGAATGAAGTAGTATTTTTTCTAATGCTGTTTCATTTTTTGTTGCATTGTCTTGAAACCCATCAGTAACTGCAGATCAGCTCCCTAGAGAATAATAAATCATGTGGTGATTTTGAGGACTATCTGGATGTCTTTTTGGGGCTATCTTGTTTTATGAGTAAATTACTTGTAAGTCATACAGCTTCAGCAGTCTATGTTGGCAATGTTAGGTAACCAAATTTGGTAGCATTTCACTCCTTTTTTCCTTTCTTTTTATTGTGTCTGTTATATTCTTTTTTCATTAAAAAAAACCCATATCTTTCAGTACAATTATGACAAGACAATTGTGGACAGTGGAACAACAAATTTAAGAGTTTCAGAAGAAGTCTTTGATGCTATTCTTGAAAGACTCAAGAAATTTGATAAGGTGAGGCCACTTGATGTATTCTTACCAGAAGGCTGTGTAAAATAACTTTTGC